CACCTCACATAAATATGGTTTTCCTTAAAAATAATTCATAAGAGACGGTCAAATAATGGGTAGTGAATAGTGTAAAAGTCAAAGTGGGACAAATAAAAAATAATGGAGGAAGTATATAAAAAGGTTTGACCTTTACAAATTTTACCTATTACATCATAATGACCCATGCTCATTCATATATCTCATATATGTTACCCTTCACGTACTTTTGGTTTAATTAACACAATAAACCATATGAAGTACTATTTTCGATTCTCCATCCCATAATGTGGTCACAATCTTTTCAATAAATTGGGTATACAATAAATATTTCACATTAAGGGCCTGTTCTGATTTACTGAAATGAGCTGAACTGAACTGATCTGAATTGAATTGAGCTGAACTGAATTATTTATGAGAGACGGAAATTAGGAACTAAATCGAAATAAACTAATTGAAGCTAAACTGAACTGAACTGAAATTAGGCTGAAAAAGGGTCATATTGTAATACCAGCATATTTTATGATGTTATGTAATATATTTTATAAAAAATAGTTTATATTTTTATTTTAGAGTCGAAAAATTAAAACCCTATTTTGTTTAAATAAGACTCTACAATTATAAAAAAGATACATAAACTATTTAAACCCTATAAATAATATTCTTAACACTCAAAAGATATTTTATTAAAAAAGAAAGAAAGAAAGAAAGCAGTTATTTTCCTTTTTGCCGATGTGTGATAATTGTAAAACAAAGTCAAATTTGTTTCTTCTGGTAAGTTCTTATTTCATACTAAAATATATATATGATTAATTATTATGATATTATATGATCTAATTGGATTTGAATATTGTATTATATTTAATTTTTTTATAATTGATTATGCTAGGGTTTTAATGTTGTTGTTTTAGGGAGTATTGTTTTGAGGTTTAGGGTAACTAATGCGGAGTATTATTTTTGGGTTGAGATTTGATTATATTTGGGTTATTGGTATTATTTTTTTAAGAATTGAGATATTTATGAATCGAATTGTTATGTTATTTGGGAACATATGTCATTATTGAGATATAATAAATTAGTTTGCAAATGATTATTTGATCGAAGTATGAGATCAAAAGGTTGAGCATATTATTTTGTTCATGGTTTAAGGCTCGGCGTTTTAGACCTTAGTCCTTGGCATGTTGGTAAGGAGATGATAATTATGAGTTACGAATGAGGTACAATCTTTATTTATAATTTTATATGGTTCCCTACAGTGGGATTTGCCCCGTATGTGGTCTGGTTCAAGGTGTTTTTCTGGTTATTGAGAGTATTCAAGTTTTTATACTTGTTGGTTTGTTATTCAAATTACCCATGTCCAAGGGTAGATATAAAACAAAAGGTGTGGTACACTTATGGGACAAATGAGTTGAGTAAGAGTTATTATTGCTATTCGAGGTTGAGTTTAAGAAAGGCAATTTCCAGAGTACAATGTGTAATGTAGTTTCAAACTACATTGATTAATTGATGAGCTAGTAATATTAATAATTCTATTTTTCTTTGTATTCCATTAATGTAGTTAACGTGTGTGTTTGTTTGTTGTTGTGCTACTTGTGTTTGCGGTCATGTCTTTTTTCTTATGGTGGCCCTGCGACGATCTATTTTGGAATTTGTCAAGGTTGTAACAGGTTGATCAAGTGATCGTAGCTAAAGGAGCTCAAGTGTTTCGATTAGCATTTTATAACGAGTTTATAAAGTTGTATAAATAGTTCACCTAGTTTATTAAGTTGTAATTATTGGGATTTTGTAAGCCTTAACACTTGATAGGTTGTTGAATGTGACAGTAATACCTCCGATTTAGGCGTATAATTCTGCAATTCTATTCAAAGTTTTTTTATTTTTCCTTTAATTCTTATTTACTATTAGTTAGTAAATCGGGGTTGATACATATTTAAGTTATTTTTGGCATCACTTTTTTCCCTTCAAAAAATAAGTTAAATTGTAGTACTTAATAAAAATTGCTATCTAAATTGGTGTTTTTTCAAAAGACGTGGATTTCACTAGATTGTCTAGATATATAAATATAAGCTTATGTCCTACAGAGTAGGTTTAAAGATTTGTCAATAGATACTCTATGGATACTTCAATAAGATTTGTCAAGAACGACACATGTTGATTATTCTTAATGTGATTTTTTCTTGTCATTTTTGTTGTTATTTAACATTCAATTGATATGGATATAACTTACAAAAGTCAAAAAATTTAATTTAGTGTTAATTTTATAAACAGTTATTGAATTTAGTAACCTAATTTTACAAATTTCAAAGTACATTATAACAATCATTTTAGAATGTGAACTTTTTTTTAATCAATTAAAATACATCATAAATAAATCTCAATTTAAATTACTTTATGAAATGAATTTTATGATTTAAAAATAACATAATTATAAGAAAATTATTGAGAGTTATAAAATGTTAGGTTTAGGTTTTTTTTTAAAAAGAGGAAATTTTGACATTTGCTAATACGAAAAACACCTCGATTCAAATTTGCTACCGGTTTAAATTTTTTTTATTATTTATTTGCTACCACCCAAATCCCATATTGTTAAATTTCATTACCACTATATGGAATCCGTTAAGATCTGTTAAGTTTAATAAAAAAGTAATAATAAATAATAATAATAATAATAAAAAAAAAACATCCACCCTCAAGCCTCGTCAGCCCCCTCCCGTCAGCCATCCCTCCCCTCCCCCTTGCCGACGGCAGGCGCCAGTGACCCCACCCCGTCCCCTTTCCTACTCCGCTTGGCCGCCCTACCAAATTCTTACCCTTCAAAATCAGGGGTTTTCAATGGGCTAGGTTTTCAATTAGATGCGAAATTGGTGACGGTGGTGGTGTTGTGGGCTGTAATTGGTTGTGTGTGGCGAGCAGATTAATTAATGGTGGTGGTTGCTACACTCGGTGGCTTGAGTTGGGTTGTGACGGTCGATGCTCGTTGCTATTGGAAATGGGGGCGTAGCGGCTGATTTGTTGTGGGGGTCTGAATTGGTGGCTGATGTTAGGTGCGGCTGGTGAATGCGTGCCCTGAGGGGTGAAGGTGGAGTGGGTGTTGTTGTGGTTGGAAGTGAGGGTGGATGGAAAAAGGGTGGCTGGTAGGGAAGGTGGTTGGAAGGAGAGGAAAAGGGAGGGGGGTTGGCTGGTGGAGGAAAGGGAAGGGGGTGGGGTCGCCGGTGCCGACCGTCGGCAACAGGAGGGGGAGGGGCAGCATTGATGGGGGCTAGGAAGGTGGTAGTGAGGTGGTTGGGGATAGAGGGGTGGTTGGAAGGTGGCTGAACGGTAGTCGGGCCCCACTAACGGAAATAGTAACAATATTAGGCATCAGTAGTGAAATTTAACAATGTGGGATTTAGGTGGTAAAAAAAAAATTAAACTGGCAACAAATGTGAATCGAAGTGTTTTTCCTGATAACAAATGTCAAAATTTCCCAAAAAAAATGTTAGATTGCATCCCGCTTAAATGTTACTTTTTTTTTTTTACGGGTAAATGTTAGAGCATAGCCAACTATTAACCATTTAGGGTGGCTATTATGTGAGAGAGTGTACAATCGTAGAGAGAGAGAAAAAAATAATGGGTGGTTTATACACACGGTTGTACGATGCGCATCGTACACACGCCCCAAAACGACACCCTTTAATAAGTGAAACGCAAAATAGTAATTCATGGTTAAAAAGGCGGAAAGAACATCAGTAACAATGCAAAGAACATGTGGATTTTAAAGAACATTACGATGAAAACAAAGAACGCGTGAAATAAGGAGGTAATTTTGGGTAGTTACGGCCCACGTGTTACTGCCCACAGTGTTCTATGTGTATTCATTTTTTATAAATTGGTTTTGATCCCTATTTTTTTTAGGATATATTATTAATTTGATTCTAATCCTTTTGTTTTTATAAAACATAGAACTTGTTATGCGTGAGCGATGCGTATGTTGATGATAGTCAAGAAGCTACATATGGTATCAAATATGTTAAATTCGAAGAGACAATCAGATATTGGCTAATTGATTGCAATATAGAATCAGTTAAAGGATATCAGCTGGTAAGTCATATAATGTTCTTTTATTTTAAAGTAGTGTTCTTCTGAATTTAGTATATGTTCTTTAATTTTTAAGTAGTGTTCTTCTGATTTTAGTATATTTTCTTTTCATGGATTAGTTACACATTTTCTGTGACTTCCTTCACTATGTTCTTTTTATTTCTTTGATTGTTCTTTTATATACGTGTGTTGTTCTTATATGATTATATCATGTTCTTTATAGTATATTCAATGTTTTTTTTTAAATTATATGTTTTTTTATCTGCCTGTTTCAGTTGTTTTTCCCTGTGTATGCGCACGACCACTTTTATGTGATGGTCATAAATACAAAATCAAAGGTTGTGGAAACTTTGGATAACAGACCACTTGTAGAGGGTGTTCCTTTTTCAGAAAAGTACCATGACTATCCAGAGAAGTTGGTAAGGATGTTATTTAACTTTTATAAATAATGTATGTTTTTAATTAAAATATATAGTGTTCTTTCTGTCTAACTTTTATATTCTTTCGTTGTGTATGGTAGAGGCATGCCTTCTCAATGTACCTGAAACAACATGGGATGAAGTTATGGGAAAAAGTCTTCAACTATGAAATAAAATTGGTAGACATGCCATGGAGAACATTGGACAACAATGTTGATTGCAGAATATACGCAATGCGCCACATGGAGACATACTTCGGGAAGCGTAAATGGAATTGTGGCTTGAGGGCTGATAATGTAATATTATCATATTTTGTATTTTTTTATTTAAGAAAATAACAAACATTAATGTTATTCTTTTGTTTTTTTTTTCTTTTTTGTGGGTGAACAGTTTGATGCATTGAAGGCACTTAGAATGCAGTACACATATGAGATTCTTGTGGATCAAGTGAATAAGCGCCATGCAGATTTTAGCATGAAGGCCAAGAAATATTTCAAGGAAATTAGGAATGATTAGAGACACTTGTGTTAGTTTTTGAACAAGTATGTCTTTTTGAAAATTTGGTGGATGTTGAACAATTAGCACTGTTTATTTTTTGTATAGTTGGGGCTAATAAACTTTGGAAGCATATTGATTTGGAAGAAAGAATAGAATGAACATGTACAATGTTCTTTATACAACATGTTTTCTTCTGATTTTATGCAATGTTCTTTTGATTACAAACAATGTTCTTTTATTAACATATAATGTTCTATTGATTACATACAATGTTCTTTTAAAAACATCTGATGTTCTTTTTGTTCAGTGAAATTTTATTTCTAGTTATTTTGCATCATATGTCTTATAAACTAACACAAAATATGTCTTTTTATAGGCCACAGTAACCACCATTAATATGCAAAATATGTCTTGTTAAAAAAAAAAAAAACTGAAATAGAGTGTTCTAATTTATAAGATCTTATTAAAAAAATTTTTAAAAAAAATATAAGGACAAATATGAAATAAAAAAAATTGTTAACGTAGACTAAATAGTACATATCATTTATAATTCTCTAATATTCACTCCAAAATAGTCATCAGGCTCAAAAAACTCCAAAGATCCTCCAAATTCGTTGGAATGTGCCAGAACATTTCCATCAGGTACAGGGAGGAAATCCTTCCAAAAAAAAAAAAAAATTATTTAAGTAAAAGAACAATATGTATAAAATGAAAGAACAAGTTGTAACCATAAAAGAATGTAATATAATATAATTAAGAACAATATATACCTTAATCGTAGTCTGTGCTTTTCGTTTCATCTTTGAAACACCCTTTGCGCTTTTCTTTCTCCATGACTTTATCTTTTGACCTTTGAGCTTGTTGGAAACCTTTTCCTGTGTGCTTTTCCACCTAGTATTCTTTTGACCCTTTTTCCTTTTTTTGATAGGATCCTTGACATCTACCTGAACTGTGTGTTCTTTAACAATGCCTCCATGTTCTCTTTCAAAACCTCCATGTTCTTTTTCAAGTCCTCCATGTTCTTCAGCCAATTCCTCAAATATTACTGCTGGTTCTAATAGACTGCCATCACCTTTTTCTGGAGTAACATCTTGTTCATTCGTTTTTGATAACTCAGGTGGCACATCTTTATCTTCTCCCATCAAGAGATTAATCCTAGCAGTGCATTCTTCAATTGCTTCCTCAATGACAGCTCGAGCACTCAAGTCATTTTGTGCTCGATCTACAAGTGTGATAAATGTACGAATATGATACAATCTCCATACACTACAAGGAGTGACACCCATTTCAGCAACATCATTGTCATCAACTCTAGTGCACATAGCAGCTTTTGTCCATCTCTTGCAAATGTATCTCTTTGGGATATAAGTAATGTTGTTTAAATGTAAGACACGAAGTGAGTGCTTGCACAACAAACCTACCTCACCAAAATATTTGCAAGTACAATCAACTGTAACTGTTGATTCATCAAATGCAACAGTATGCATGATCAAATCCTTTTTTGGATGCCCAACATGATATTCATAAAGTGGAGGTTGAAATCCTATTACCTTTGCCGTGCAGGGAACACCATTGACAAAATTGTCTTCAAAATGTAAATAGATTTGAATAGTATAAATCTTCCTTGCATGCTCCAACAATCCAATATCTGCCCAAACTAAATGACGATTTCCAGTCATACTATCATAATCATTACTACCTTCTCTACTCCTCCACTCATCAACAACCTCAATAAAAGTAGTGTAGAAATCACATAGACCATGAGTGGCATGTAGTCGACGGGAAACTGATTTGTTAGTAGTTTCACTCCTCTGAGATGACATAACACCGCCACTAAAATAATCTTTGGAATATGCAGGACACCACATCTCTTTGATATTATACAGATTTTGCAGCCATTTATTATCTGTGCATTTGTACGTTTTCTGCATGCTGTAAAATAAAAGAACATCATACTAAGTGAAAAGAATGTCAAATATAATAGAAAAGAACATCTGTATACTTAATTCCAGCACATTAAGTTCACTTCAGAAGAACATCAAATATATGATAAAAGAACATTAAACGAACAACACAAGGAACATTATTTTAAGTAAAAAGAATGTCACATGTAATAAAAAAGAACATCTCTCTATATTAATCCAACATATTGGGTGTACTTGAGAAGTACATCAAATAAATTACAAAAGAACATTAAACATGAAAATAAAGAACATCGTCTAGCAACTTAAAGAACATTGAATCAGTAAAATATTTAAATAACATAATTTTAAAATTATTAATTCATAGCGTTACCTTGACCAATAGTGCTCGAATTCTTGAATAGTATCGGTATACTTCAAAACAATATCAAACAAATCATTAAAACCTTCCTTTGCTCTAAGTCCTTTGATATTTTTCTTTGCATTCTCCCTAATATGCCACGTACATAGTCGATGTCTGGAATTTGGGAAGACAACCTTAATTGCTTTGGCCATTGCTTGAGCTTGGTCAGTCATTATTGTCACAGGATGTTTGCCACCCATGGATTTCAAAAAAGTATTGAACAACCACTCAAAAGATTCCCATTTTTCATTGATCAAGAAGCCAATACCAAACATGACATTATTGTTATGATGATTCATACCAACAAAAGGTCCACAAAGCATACCATATTTGTTTGTACGGTACGTTGTATCATGGACTAATAAATCACCAAAAGCATCATAATCTACCTTCATTCTATTATCACGAAAGAAGAAAGATTGCAAATGACTTTTTCATCAACATCAAAGTCATAAAAAAAGTCATACTCACTAGATTTCCTCTCCTTAAAATAGCTAAGCAAACGCTTTGCATCACAACCGTCAAACATCATTTTCTTATGTTGGGATAAAGCACCATACGCATCCCTACAAAGAAATGAAAGATTTGCCTCTCCACCAGCTTGATGTTTTAAAACACGCACTGCATCAGCAATAGGTATACTACTCTCAGTCAAGCTACTCATCATCACAACTTGTTCATTAGTAACCTGTGTACATACAAAAAAACACATTGTTTCAAAAAAAAGAACATCATGTATTTGTTAAAGAACATATATTGCGCATTTAAGAACATGATTTAAAATAATTTTAAAAATTGTACCATTACCTTCCTATGAGACCTAATCAAATGTCTCTTTGAAACAGCAACCCTACTATGATTATGAACCATAGTGTGATTGACCACGACATACAAACCAGACACCTTATCAATATCAAACTGTATATGAGCCTTGCAACCTGTGCGGAAATTCCTCTTTTGGTAAACTTTTGATTGTTCACCATGCTTCTTCTCTTGCTTAAAGCCAGCAAAAGAACACACCAAAAAGCGTTGCCTAGGTGTCCTATCTTTGTCATCTCTACGATTCAACCTATCTTTACGTATACCAAAACCATGTTTAAATGCATAACTATTATACAAATCATAAGCCTCTTCATCAGACTTAACTTTTCTGTCAAATAATTCTGATTCAGTTGCCTCGGTAAAACCTGAAATAGGATATCAAAACACATATATATTAAGCTGATGTTCTTACATAATAACATGATGTTCTTTTAAAGGTATAAAATGTTATTTAATATATTTGTAATGTTCTTTATTAAATGCACATTGATAACGGCACATTAATTACAGAAAATACAAAACAGAGTACAACAAAAGTACACGACTCTTTCAGGAAAGTACATTACATTACAATAAAAGTATATAAAGAGTACTACAAAGTACCTATATAATTAACAATTGCACATGCACTAATAAATAAAATCAACATTGATTTCAAATTACATATAATAACAAATAAAAAAGAACATATGTAAATAATAAAAGAACTTCATCTTCAACCTCATGAAAATCACTGTGAAATTAAAAATATAAAGTAATTCGATAATAAAATTAAAATTATTAGTAATAACTAAATCTAATAATCAAAATTAATGATTAACAAATGAAAAATATAATGAATTAAACAATTCACCTTCATTGAGGTTTACGATACCCTCGACTTCACCTTCATCGTTGATATCATAATCATTTGCATCATCGACAAATCTAGCATTAGAATCATGGCGAAATTCAGATTGATAAACCATTATTAACTTCTTCTACAATAAATTCAAATGATTGATCCTCAAAATTTTCTCTGTAATTCTCTCTCTGTAATTTTCTCTCACTAAAAAGTTTGAAATCTCTATGATTTTCAATCTCTATCAGTTAACAAAAATTAGCAAAAACTGAAAGCTATAAAATTGGCAACAATTTAGCAAAATTCACGTGATGTTAAACTGTCTCCTTTTTTTTTTTTTTTTTTTAAATTCCCGTAATTAGAAATTAATGGAATTAATCCTGCCAACTCAGCAGGTGTACCATGAGCATGGTACACCCTTGTGTACTATCAAACTTTCAAAAAAAAAGAGAGATAAAACAACAACCTAGTTAAACCTTTAACCAAGTTATTGTAACATGGTTCTTCAAAAACAAAAAAAAAAAAATTATTGTAACATGGTTATTGAATAAAATATTTACCCATTTTTGTAAGATTTTCTACTTATTGAATAAAATTTATGGACAACCATTAACATGCATTGATTATAAAATAATTGTCAAAGTGGTTACAAATAAGGTAGAAAATGGATAAATGAATAAAATAGATGATAACACAATAATTGTGATTAACCATTGATTATGCTCTTACTCCACTTTCTCTTGCTCAAAGAAATAGGGCCGAACACGCCTTTAGTAAAAGCAGACAAGTAGTACATAATACAACAAAATCGTGCATCTCGTACGTTGAGGGTAAAACATATACGGAGTAAGTGAGTAACGAATCTCTCTGTTATTTTTGGTTTAAATGAGGGTGGGGGAGGAAAACCAAGTGGATAACAACGGCAAATGAGAAATGTGGACGTTTTAATGACAATCAGCTAATGGGAAACATTTATTCACATCACCAAACAGAAATACTGCCACTTCAAAATTTGTTTGCTCTGGGCCAGTTGGGACTTTGGGGAGGTTTTACCTAGTTCTTTATTCTCTCTATTTTAAATGAAAGAAGAAACTAAAATAAAAATATCTGCTGAAAAAAAAAACAGCAAAGGAAAACACGAATGAAGAGCATTATTATCCATTAAATATTAAATATCTAAAGATCAGGGGTTAGAAATTGAGCGACAAAAACAGAGAAAGAATGGGAATGCACTTGGTGGTAGTAGCGGCATTTCATCTATCAAGGGGTGCGGGTGCGGGTGCGGGTGCGGGCTTGACTACCCCTCGAATCGCGGCTAACTTGATATGGCCTTTTTTATTCAAGCTCTGCTTAAGCGTCAAAGTTTCTCCGCAAGATTTAGTTTGTTCAACCAGGTTCTTGCTTTTTCAAATTGCTCAGATTTTCTCTGGTGTCGATAATACTAATAACACCAGTAATAGCCGATGGGATCGAACCCTTCGATTGGTGCGCGAGAGAGTCGCCGTTGCCAGAGATTCGCCACGGTCTTTGCCTCATGATGATGAAGAAAGTCTCCGTATACTCTCAATGTTTGCTCTTTGAATTTTCATTTCCTATTTTTATTTTCTTCAACAGCTTCATCACTGTATATTATTGTATCATTCCATTAGGTACTTCTTTGTAGTAGTATTAAATATTAATTAATTTGTTTATGGACCACCTTTTTCTATAAATCATTAAACTAATGAACTTCTTAATAGGAATTATTTAGTACATGCCAAATAATTGTATCCGTATGTTGGGAAAGGATCATTTTCTGTAACTTTTTAAAGACCCAGTTTCGTAATGTTATAGTTCAATTAACTGAACTGGTAAAAGTAGAAGTGACAAGCAATGATGTTAAAAAAATAAAAAAGAATTCACAGAAATACAGAATCCTTCACCAACTAATGGAGGAAACTTGGTTATCGGAATTTTTTTTGTACCAAGTAATTGTTGGAAAAGGATCATTCGGACATTTTCTACAACATTATCCTTTGTTCTCGAAGACCCAGTCTCCTTATCATATCATGCTGTACGATTAACTGAATTAATAAAGGTAAGGTAGGTGAGCGATTGATAAAATAAAGAAAATATCTGACTTGTTAGACCAAACCACACGCAAAGAAACATTATGGTAGAAGAAGGTATGTAAACATCTGTATCTATACTGTGTATATAATACGGAGTGAGTTAGAGTAAAATACAGTTCCTAAACTTTGGTATTTGTAGCATTCTAATCCCTCAACTTACAAATGAGGCAAAAAGGTTCCTCAATCACCCAAGCATCACCTTTTTCTGATGGAGGAAAAACTTAGTCCCTAAAGTTTAGAGACTTCAATTCCAAGCCAACTAAACAAAGTTTAGGGGACACACAATATGATGTGTAATTTATTTTTATTTTTTCAAGTAAAACTTTAGGGACTTGTTTGCTCACAAGTCAATTAATTAAATTAAATATAAACAAAAGCTTAGGGATTTATAAAGCTAAGTGAGTTTTTTTATTTATTATTTTTTTATTACCAAATATTTATAAATTGAGTTGGCAAGAATAAAAATTGCTAACAAAATTTTATAATCATGATATATTTTATATTTTGATCATTCCTTTTCTTCCTACCCTTTTTCCATACTCATATTTTTTACAATATATCCCAACTAAACTCATTGAACACTTATCCTCAAATCCTATTATATATATATATATATATATATATATATATATATATATATATATATATATATATATATTCCTACAATATGTTTTTCTTTTTTCGTACTCAATTTTTTTTTACAATATATCCCTTATATATTTGACAAACCAAAAAAAAATTTAAATAAAATAAATAAATTGAAAGATATAATGTGTTTTCAAAGTGAGTAAGATAAAACCCAAACTTTGTAATATAAACTAAATAAACTAACGGAACTAGAATAAAAAATAATACCACCCCATTTTTCTCAAAAAGTGACAATTTTTCTTCTTCTTGTGTTTATGTGAGGTTTCAATTTTTTAGGGTTTTGTGTGTCAATTTTCAAGGATTTTTTTTTCCCTATTTGTGTATGTTCTAAATAATTTTTAATTTTTTTGGATTTTGGGTGTGAAAATTTTTAGGGGTTTTTTTTTCTTCTTCCTTTTTCTTGTTTTAACTTCTAGGAGAAAATAATAATTGTCATAAATTGTTAACTAAATGTGTGTAACTAAATGAGTAAGAAATAAGAAGGATTTATTCTTTTAGAAACAAATTTTGTATTATATATAGCAAGATCTTAACTAGATTTCTTAACAGATTTTAGTGAGAGAAAGTAAATGATGACTATGAATTTCACACATAAATATCTTTCACTTACATATTTTTATAAAGTAAATAATTTTTTACTAAAATTAAATTGGTTTTGTTAAAATTAAATTAATTTCATTGAACCAAATTACACGTATTATGGGTTAAATTTATAATCACTCTTGTATGGGAGCGCCATGTGTTGCTAAACTTTGGCATATAATAATTACATTAGCCACCTCACCCTATATATCCCTAAACTTACATTTCTAACTTAGTTAAAGCCAACTCATCAACTAAATGTCTCTAAACTTTGCTTTAAAATTATTAATTTATTGCCACATGTGCCCTAAGGTCCCTATAAACTATGCTTAGTGAGCTAATTTGTATCTGAAAAGTGAGTCATTAGTGGTTGAGGGACCATTTTGCCTCATTTGAAAGTTGAGGGACTAAAATGCTATAAATACCAAAGTTCAAGGACTGTATTTTACCTTTACTCCATATACTATATATTAAAAGGTGTTTCTAAACAAGTTTACATGCCACGTGGTGCTCATTTAATCGAGTTTTTAATTCCATATGTTAAAGCCATGTGGCACTCTCTTATTTAATCCATTTTTCACTCCATATATTTATAAATATGGATTTTACAAGATTTGAACACACAACTTTGAGTTTAAATCCTAACGTGTTATCTAGGGGTGGCAAAAATTGACCCGACCCGAAAACCCGACCCGAACCCGACCCGAAAATAGCGGGTTAGGGTTGAGAATTTCGACACGAAAACTTAAATGGGTTGACACGAACCCGACCCGAAATTAAATGGGTTAGGTTAAGGTTGAAAATTTCAACCCGAAAATGATCCACATAACCCGAAAATAATTTTCGGGTCAAAATCAGGTCAGGTCAACCCGAACCCGACCTTATAACCCGAATAAAAAAGTCTTAAAAAAAAATCATTTTAATAGCTAATGGCCCAAGCCCAATTTAAAGTTCTAAACTTAAAAAAACCCTAAATGTGACTAACCCCCACTAGTCATTTTTGTCTCCTTTTCTCATTTTGCCCTCTCTTTCTTTCTCTCTCTCTCTCTCTCTCTCTCTCTCTCTAAACTTCTCTAGTTCTCATTTTCTCAACAATCTCAAGTTCTCAGACACTCCACACTCACTCTTTCCTTCTAGTTCTTTCTCACTCTTTCGTTCTCAAGTTCTCAACTTTTCCCTCTTCTCACTCGTTCTCACTCCTCAACGCCTGAAAGGTAATGGTTATTAATTGTTTTTTATTTCGTTTCGTTTTTGTTTTGAATTTCAAGTTTTGATTCTGAATTTTCCATTCTTGTTTTTTTTTTCAAATCTTCAAATCTTCATCTCCTTCAAGCTGTCAAACCTCAAACTCTCAAAGGTAATTCTTTTTTAATTTTTGTTGTTTTTGTTTCGATTTTTGTTGTTTTCGTTTCTGTTTTGTTGTTTTCGTTTCGGTTTTGTTCTTAATTTTTGATTTTTTTTTTCGTTTCAATTTTTTTGTTTTCGTTTCGAGTTTGGTTGTTTTCGTTTTGGTTTTGTTGTTTTCGTTAGTTTTGTTCTTGATTTTTGTTGTTTTTGTTTCCGTTCCATTTTTGGTTGTTTTCGTTTCGAGTTTGTTGTTTTCATTTCATTTTGGTTGTTTTCGTTTGGTTTGTTCTTGATTTTTGTTGTTTTTGTTTCTGTTTCAATACAGATTTGTATTTGATTATTGTTGTTGTTCTTGCATGATAATAGTATTAAGTTTATATAACGTATGATGGGTTGCTTTGTAAATTTCTAGCACAATAATCCAATTCCTGATCTAATTTACAGCAAGAATATATCTTTGACATGCATGTGATTTTTTTTTTTAATTTTAGGTCTGATTTAGATTATATCTCTAGCTTGTTGTTGTTGACTTGTTGTTTATTTTATATTGTTGTTCTTGTCCAAATAATTTCTGATTTTTTGCGGTAATTATGGATGTTGATGTTTAGATTATATCTCTAGAAAGAATAGATTAGTTTTTGTCTCTTGTTTTAAAATAAATGTTTTATTTTGTTATAATTTTTGCAGTAATTATGGATGCCGATGTTCAGCAACTTTCTTCCGAGGAAGAGGAGATTGACTCGACAACACAAGACAAAGGAAATGGTAAAAACCAGAAAACTTCTTCTGGTAAACCTCGTGTGATTCTTACTGGTAAGAAACGTCAACGTCGGCTTTCTTCTGGTGTTTGGGTGAATTTTGATTTTTTAGACGAGCCTGATAAAATGGTAATCTAATTTGCAAATGTAAAAAGTGTGGTATACATTTTAATGCTGATAGTAAGAATGGAATTGGGAATCTTCATCGTCATTTGAAAAATTGCAAACAAAGGTCTTTTAGGGATGTTGGTCAAATGATATTAGAGAAAACATCCTCTGGTTTAGGAAATAGATTGCGTGAATTTGATGCTAATTATTTCCGTGAATTATTATCTCTTGCTATTGTGGAGCATGATATGCCATTTCAGTTTGTAGAGTTCAAGGGTTTTAGGAGATGTTTTAATTATTTGCATCCTGATTTCAAACCTGTCACTCGAAATACTATCAAATCTGATGTACTTAAGATGTATAAAAGAGGGAAAGAAAAATTAAAAGTTGTTTTGGGCTCAACTTGTAGTAGAATTGCATTGACTTCTGATTGTTGGACTTCTATAACCACTGATGGTTATATTTCATTGACAGCTCATTATGTTGACAAGTCTTGGTGTTTGCAAAAAAAGATTTTGAACTTTTCTTACATTGGTCCTCCCCATACAGGAATTCATTTATGTGATCATGTGTATGGTTTGTTAAAAGAATGGGGTATTCAAAAAAATATTTTTTCAATTACATTAGATAATGCTTCTTCAAATGATGTTTTTGCTGAAAATCTAAAAGGGGAACTTGAGTTGATTTGTGGTGGGGAATTTTTTCATGTAAGGTGTTGTGCTCACATTCTTAATTTAATTGTTCAAGATGGTTTAAAAGAAATTGATGAGGCTGTGTATAAGATTAGAGAGAGTGCCAAATATTGTAAGAGTTCACAAGCTAGGAAACAAAGGTCTTTAAGTTGTGTATCACATGTTGAAATTCAATCTACTAGAATTTTACAACAAGATATTCCTACTAGACGGAATTCAACTTACATGATGCTTGATTGTGCTTTGTATTTTAAAAAAGCTTTAATTCACTTTCAAAAAGTTGATGCTAATTATGTACATTGTCCTTCTGTTGAAGAATGGGGTAGAGTTGAAAAAATATGCAAGTTTTTGAAAGTTTTTCATGATGTCACACTTGCCTTTTCTGGGACCAAATATCCAACTTTCAATATCTACTTTCATAGAGTCTTACAAGTTAGGTTGTTGTTACAAAATCAAATGAAAAGTTCAGATCTTTTTATGCAAAAAATGGCTTGTAAAATGTATGAGAAATTTGGAAAGTATTGGTCAGAATTTAGTACATTTATGGCTGTTGCTGTGGTGTTGGATCCACGATATAAGTTGCAATGTGTCAATTGGGGTTACATGAGGATATATGGTCAGCATAGTGTTGAATACGAGCTTGAGTTTTCTAAGGTTAAGGATGCTTTACGGAGGTTGTACGAGGCTTATGCATCCAGTCATTCTTCATCAAGCAATGTTATTCCCACTGCTAATGCTTCCAATGCTAATGAAGCTTCCGATGATTTTATGATGGTAAACAACTTTATGAGTTTCTGTCTTTTTGATGCATTTACCTTTATTGCAAGTGAAAACATATCCTGATTTAATAATCTGATTTTTTATAATCTGATTTTTTATAATCTGATTTTATTATAATATGATTTTATTATATCTGATTTATTATATTATAATCTGTGATTTATTGTATTATGATCTGATTTTTATTTTCTGATTTTTTGTGTCATGGCGTCATGCTACTCATATAATTTGATTTATTGTATTATAATATGATTTTCTTATAATCTGATTTATTATATTATAATCTGATTTTATTGTATGATAATCTGATTTTTATTTTTTGATTTTTTGTGACATGCTACTCATGTAATCTAATCTTGGTATATAGGATTTTGATAGTTTTTCTATGGAGCAATCAAATGTGGCAATCAAATCTGAAGTTGATATGTATTATGAGGAGCCACTTATCCCCCGAGGCACCAACCTTGATATTTTGTCTTATTGGAGGACTTGCTCGGTCCGGTATCCTATATTAGCTAAAATTGCTAGGGATGTTCTTGCTGTCCTCGTATCAACTGTGGCCTCCGAATCAGCTTTTTGTACTGGAAGTCGAGTGCTTGATTGTTATAGAAGTGCTTTAAAATCAGAAACAGTGGAGGCTATAATTTTCTTAAGGGATTGGGATTTTGGGGAAGGTAATAAATGAGTTAGAACTATTATATTACTTGTAAATTATCTTTTATTTTAGTAAATGTGTTGATTTTAATTTGCTATCTTTTCTTGTAGATAATATGGATCCTCAAATGGCAATGCTATGTGGATCCGTTATGAAGCTTAAGGTGGGGGACAACGATGACGCACCACAAACCTCGCCGGAACTATCAGAATTTGATGAGAATGCTTCTTCGAATATTGTTTGAGTCACAAGGACTAAAGTTTATTAAAAGACATTTTCTTCTTTTTAATTATGGTTTGTAATTTGTTAAGACTATTTTGGTGTGTTAGTGACTTAGTGTGTAATAGTTAATTAGGCATTTTAGACTATTGAAAACATTGGGTAAAAAATTCAGGTTTTGTTAACTGTTTGAAAACACAAAATTTGGCTAAAAATCAGTTTATTCAGCTAAAAAAAAAATTAAAACAATTAACAAAAGTCAGGTCAAATCAGGTTGTTTTCGGGTTGACCTGAACCCGAAAATATCAGGTTCGGGTTGGGATTTTCAACCCGAAAACTTAAATGGATCAGGTTTAGTTGGGGATTCCTTGACCCGAAACACGAAAACCCGAACACGAACCCGACCTGACCTGATCTGTTTGCCACCCCTAGTGTTAGCCACTAATCTATTACCATATTACTCCCTCTATCCTAGAATAATTAACACATTCAAACTTTGGACACATGTCGATGTACTAGTTCTACCTTATTTTTAATAAGTAAATATTAATAAAAAATTATTTTGAAAAAAATATATTATAAAACTTTATATCAATATATATCTAATAGCACATTTTATGATAAAATATGTTGTGTCAGGCTAATATATATAAAACTATAGTCAAACTTGATGTATGAATAATGAAAAAAGTTCAACGTGTCAATTATTCTGGGATGGAGTACATGTCATTCAATCAAAATTAGATATTAATAAGGATGTTTATCATGGAAATAATGCAGTAACTTGGGATATCATTCGGGACTAAAAATTAGTTTACAATGAAAAAAACAAGGAGTATTATGTGCAACGCCGCCAATGTGATATGGCATGTGAAGGTGCTTCAACTTTACACGACCCTAGAGCTGGCAGTTTCTGAACCGTACCGTTAAACCCGATTGTTTTGAGCCGATACGAAACGAAACTAAACGTTAAAAACCCATTTTTTTGGGAACCAAAAACCAACCCGACGACCCATTGTTTTCTAACCCAAAATTGAACTGAATCGAATTTGTGCGAACTGTTACTAATCCGACCCATTATCAAGCCAAACCGTTACAACCCAAAACTGAAAACAACCGCGAATAGATTACGTTTGAACCCGATAGTAACCCGACTCATTTTAAACCGAAAACCGTTTAAACCCGACAAAAATCCAATAAACTTGAACCGTTCCAACCTATAACCAGTTGTGACCGAACCGTTTTCAACCTGTACCCGATTGAGACGGAACTGTTTATGACTCGTAACCCGTTGAGACCGTACCGTTTATGATCGGTAACCCGTTATAATTGAGTCATTTACAACCCGTAACCCAATTTGTTTATGATCTGATCCGTTTCAACCCACTACTCCATAAACCTAACTTATTTATGACTTAACTTGATTATAACATGACCATTTCCTACCCATTATCTTACTAAGTCGACTCGATAATGATCCGACTCGATTTCAACCCAATATGATTTGGACTTAAACCCGCTTTAAATTGGGTGAACCTGTTTTGAAACCAACCAAGTTCAATCCAAACCGATTATGACCTGACCAATAATGACCGGACCCGATTTTCACATGATCTGTTTTGAAACGAAATCCAATTTCAAACCGACCTAGTTTAACCCAAACTGATTATAATCCGACCCAATTACTACCCGACCCGATTAGGACCCGAACTGTTTTGAATCGAAACCCACTTTAAATTGGCTTAAACCGCTTTTAAACCAACCTGGTTCAACCCAAACTAATTATGGCCTGAACTAACAACAACCCGACCCAAATAGAAACCAAAATTAAAAAAAAAAAAAAACCAAACCAAACTGACCCGGTTGTTTTCAAAACTGACCCAAATCGACTCGCTAATCATTTCAACCTGTTATAACCCGAAACTGATAAACCTAACCCAAACCCGAACTGTTTGCCTAATTGACACCCCTAAACATCCATCATCTCATCCCTCAACTTGACTCGAATTCAACTTAGACAAGTAGACACCTTTAATCTTGTATATTTACATGTGTGCTCCCTTATAAATTCTTTCTATTTAGAATATGACATGTGTTGAACAAATGAGAGAATTATATGATTTTTTTTTGAAAGAAAACTATATGAATTTAATGTCATATATGTTATGTGCTTATGTGATTGTGTCAGACTGTGAATGAGTCAAACAAAAAAGTGAAACAAGAAAGACAAGTTTCTTCATAAACCCGAACATGATATAACTTGATAATGACTAGACCCAAACTTTGACAATGACTAGATAATAATCCAACCAGAAAAATTTGTCCAAACCCGATCATGATCTCAACTGTTTTAATCTAAGATAAATGGTGACCCATGCCTGATATGACTAACCTTAAACAACCCGAGAATGACTAGACCCAAACTTTGACAATGACTAGTTAATAATCCAACCAGAAAAATTTGTCCAAACCCGATCATGATCTCGCCTGCTTTAATCTAAGATAAATGGTGACTTATGCTTGATATGGCTGACCTTAAACAACCCGAGACTTGAGCGTTCCAAGGATTAAAAATCTAAACCCAAGCATGACCCGACCAAGAGCCCACAATTTATTGACCTAAACCAAAGAGATCCAAACTCCAATCCAACCCCCTTGAAACTCAAATTCAATCTACCTGTGATAGGTCGTCGTCAAATTAAACCTATTTAAGATAAAAATCTAACTTAGTCTCTCTAGTGAGTAATAAGGAAAAACAAGGATCGATATGGTCCCACTAAGGAGAGCATGCGTTGACAAACATAGACCCACAATGGTTTGGGGGTGTTTTAGGTGATGCATCAACGCTATTAATTTAGGTCAACAATGGAAATCCTACTAGAGTAAGTATTTTACATTTTAACAACATATTTACTTTTATTATGTATTTTATTACAAAAAAAATTTATTAAATAGTTTCTCATAAAATCTGAGTCTTATTAGGTAATTTTTTTTACCAAAAATTCTAATAAAAATATTTTGGAAAAGGGTATCCACCAATCAAGTCATTTACGAACAACAAATAAACATGTACTCCCTCCGTTTTAAAATACTTGCTCCATTTCTCTTGGACACGCATGTCGATGCTAATATTTAATCACTAATATCTTTAATTATCAATAAATATAAATTCTAATAATTGAAAATTAATTCTCTATTCATTGAGATGATTTCAACAAGTACCCACAAGACTATATTTTTTCTTATGTATAAATCACAAACATTAGTCAAAGTAGGATAAATGAATAGTGCAAAAAATAGAAATGGAGCAAGTATTCAAAAACGGAGGGAGTAGTATATAACATTTTAGGGGATAAATTAGGGGAAATAATCAAGACACTCAAACTACTCTTTCGAGCTAGAAGGGATAAATTGAATCATAAGCTATAACAGATTCTCATGGTTACAAACATAACCTCTAGTGTTAAACCATGATCACAATGACACAAATTAAACACTTTTTTTTTTTTACTACAATTACAATTTCTCAATCTCACTCAATAAGCATAAGATAGCCTACAACCTAATTTCATTATCTATTGAACCTTGGTTAAGGAGACCTTTTTCCCTCCTTTTTTACAAGTATTAAAGAGACTAAGGGTCTTTCTGATAAACTGAACTAAGCTAAACTGAACTAAATTAATTGGAGTTGAATTGAACTAAACTGATTGAAGCTGAATTGAACTGAATTAAGGGCATGTTCTGATTGACTGAACTAAGCTAAACTGAGCTGAACTGAACATATTGGAGTTGAACTGAAGTGTAGTAAACTGAACTAGACTGAATTGAATATTTTATGAGAGAAAAAAAATTATGAACTGAACTAAACTTATTGGAGCTGAACTGAACTGAAAATAATGTGAAGACAACCGACCCTAAATTGAAGTGAACTGAAATTAAGTTGAAGAGAAGGGGCCATAATTTTAGCCCATCTAAAATGATCCTAAATTTTCAATGTTTTGGACCTAAATAACGGGCTTGAATTTGTCTTGATCTGCTTATATGGCTCTAAAGACTGACCCGTGATCACTTCTAATTTTTTTGCAGAATTTCTCTCAAATGTGACTAACAAAAAGAAGTGAGGGAGAATAATGTTTAAACATTTAAACATAGGTCCGCCAATAACTGGCTGGTTGCTAAATTTGGAAACGACTAATAAAACAAATTCGTAGTAGGTGAAAAAATACCAACCATATGGTCAAACTTCTTTTTTCCCGATTCCCATTTTAACTAACACGTTGACTCAGCTCAAGATATTTGCTGAATTAGCCTGTGTTCGTTCAACCTGCCCTGCTATCCTGCCGCAACTTGTGGTAAGATGATTTGACTAAGTCAAAGTGATTTAGCATATTCATGTGTTACTACTTCTTTCTAGCTTTGAAGAAAATGAGATTACGAGTCAACTCAAAGGGGATTGGACAAAAACTTTGACAATGTGACTACTATTTAAACAAATTAATGGTGCTAATAAAATCATCTGAAAAGTTTGGGGAAGCACTAGTGATTATATATATATATATATATTATATATATATATATATATATATATATATATATATATATATATATATATATTTATTAAGGGAAAGCACTAGTGATTATAGCAATAGCAATCATATAACTAATACGAATATATAAAACTAAACTTTTAGCCACACTACGACACAACGACACTTGGTGTTTTTATTTTTCGTCAAGTGTCACATCATGTAGGCAACAATTAATTATATTATGTCACATTGTAGTTATTCGGATATATTTTTATGGCTAAAAAAGTTTCTACCTCCGGTCCAAATTACTCGCAACTTTAGGGTATTATTTGTGAGACATAAAATATTCCAAAGTTGTGAGTAATTTGGACCGAAGGTAGTATATTTTTTTATTAAGATAAAAACTGGATAAAAAAGTTAACATAAAGTTTTATTTTCAATAAAATTTGGATAGATTTATAAGATAAAATTGTCGATTTAGAGTTCAATTTCCGATAAAATATCAATATTTCACAAGTATAAAATAAAGAAAAATTTGTCAGAAACAACCTTTTAAAGTGTCCACTATATTTAAAACAACCTTTTAATTTTTTTTTTTGCAATTTCAGACCACATTATAATTTTTTTTTTTATCAAAGACAACCAAATGTTACTTT